CAAGGCTTCTTTATTTGTTAAGTGAAAATCCATGGTTGATGTCCAGTCAGTAGAACTGACCTTAACAGGTCCATAATAAGAAGAGCCTTTCATCTTTTTGAAGCTTTCCGGCGTCATCTTGCGTGTTTTGTTGTTCTGCTCACAAAGTCGTTTTGCAATATCTGCACTAGGACGAACATTAAATGACTTGCAGCTGTTATTTTTGAGGCATTTTTGGTGACATTCAAACTCGTCAACAACAGTAGACGTATTCATGACATGATCAACTAAAATATGGTCTGAAAGATAAAGTTACGAAAAACGAAGGAATATGAAACCATCTGTAGGGTTAAAACATCAGTGAACCAAGGACATACCTTTTTTCATTGAATTTAGCTGTACATTTTATGATAAAAGATATTCTTGCTTGCTAAATTGGAATTAAATACATGTGACAATCGACAGAAGTAAAAATAAAGTGATAACAGTTATAAATAATTTTAGCATGAGATAATTCGGAATAATGGAAATGCTTTCAAAGTGCTTTTTTGTGCGAGTTCGTTATCTTAGATTTATTAACATGGTGAGTATTTAAAAGATGTAATAAAAAACTATACTTTAGACTAAAACTAGTAAAATAAAAATATTTTGCCCAGAGATATTGAAAAAGGTCTCGAAAAACATTTTATAAAGAGGCAGGTGTTAACTTACCAGTCTGAGTTTCAAAAACGGGAGGCTTCGGACCTTATTAAGTGCGTCAAAATAGTTAGAAAAGGTCGCGAAAGAAATCGCAAAAAGGTCTCAAAGACTGAAAAGAAAAGTGTAAATTTGGATGGCAACAAATACAGGCTCCGTACGGGTACAGAAAGCACAGACAAGACTTTAAAAAAGCTGCCCTAACCGACTTAAAGGGGGAGCAAGAACGGATATGTTGTGTATTTTGGATCTTAATTGTCATTGGTTCGAAAACTAAGAAATCACTCGGCTGGTTTTGCAATTTAGATGGGGGTAGAAGTCGAAGTTTTTATGAGACCAGTTAAATTGCTATTTTGGTCGACCATACTTCAGTTAAGTTCGACTACTCACTACTGGGTCACAAACGTCAAACTTGCCTAAGCGTCGAACTAAGTTCAAAAGTAATAAAGGGCGTGAAACATTTCAAAGTCATTGGTGGAAGCCTGCTTTGCAGAAACCCGTTGATAACAGACAACTCTCTTTGTTCCTACAAACAGCACAATATATTAATTTGTAATGAATAAACAGCAAAAAACAGAGGAATATGCAGAAAACAGTAGAGTTTAACATTGAACCTAGAACAACATTAATCAGTTGAGTTTTATAGCTGAACAATTCTATAATCTTTTACGATAAAGAGATAAGTAAACTCGCTTGCAAAATTACGATTTGATACAAGTACGAATCGTCAGAGGTAAAAAAAGTGATAAAAGTTGTGAGTTTAACATCAGATATAGTCGGGGAAAGGAAATGGTTTTTAAAATGGCGAGTAATAAAAAGATGCAATAAGGAACCGTCTACTCTAGACCAAACCACGTTAAATAACGGTATTTTGCTTGCGCCTAGAGACACGACAAAATTTTGGAAACGGTTCCATAAAGTCACAGGTTTCAACTTACCAGTCTGAGTTTCAAAAACGCTGGCGCAGAAGTCCGAGTTAGATATCACCAGTACCACTACCATCAGAACATTAACAGCCAAAAAGACCAAACCAATGAGCAACGAGGCAGCCATTGACGGAAAATGTTTGGCTTAACCTTGGTGTAGCTACATCTATTTGCACTATAATATACTGCGCATCAGTTTCAGTTTTTTTTGTCTTTCAACTCTTTTGCGGTGACAGTTTCCAAGCAAAGCAATTTTATAATTCATAAGTGTTTTTGTAAATACTAAATAAAACTGCTTAAAAAGATTTTATTTATAAGAGTCGAGCTAAACTTCATTATCAAGCACTCCTGGAAAACAAGTGTACTTTTTTTGTTCCAGCTGGGAAATGTCTCATTTTAAAAGAAGCACAGCAACATGAAAAAGCAATAACATATGCACTGAGCGAATTCTAGTAATAATACTGACGCCCCCCGAGAACGCCAGCGTTACCGGCCTTAAGAGTCCGAGGCCGGGCTCCTTACAAGTCCCTGCTAACCTGAAGATCATTCATTTTTCTGAAATACTAATGATTTACGGTCAGACTCAGTCGAAGCTGAGGGAAATTAATGAGCCATTGCTTGGGCATATTTATTGTGCATTCATAGGGGTAAAATTAAAGAGAGTGGTGATTGAACCAGTTTTTGGCCTGGATCCATCTGCTTAGTGCAGTATTGATACTGAGTATTTAATTATTAAGATGTCTCGTTTCATCTCTTTAGTTTAGGGATTATTAATTAATCGACGGCCACTTATAGCTAGCCAAATTATACTGCCTTAGCGGGTTGCATATCCGAAAACTTTTCAGCTTTTAAAACCAAAAATAAACAAAAAAGATGCAAACATTTCAGGGTGGGTTGGAGAAGCTCGATCTATGGTTCAACCTGAACCTTACGAAGCTTAACGCGACCGTTCTCAATTAAACCATTGATCCTTCGAATTCCGAGTGACACTCCACGAGAAAACTATTAAATTTCATCCTTCCAGTGAAACAGGGGTAAAGGTTTTTTTTTTTTTATTTTGTGGACTGTGTCGTACTAGTTTGGTTTTGTTTTAATTCGTCAGTGAATTTTGGGTTGTTATTAGATTAGGTTCGGATGAAGGGATGGGGCGAAGGGAGAGGGGGGAGCGGGGGGCTTCGGACCTTATCAAATACGTCAAAAATAATTAATAAAAGTTGCGAAACAAATCGCAAAAAAGTCGCGGAGACTGAAAAGAAAATTGTAAATTTGGATGGAAACTATCAGGCTCCTAACGGAAACAGAGAGCACAGATAACTTGTCTTAGAGACTTTAAAAAGGCTGCCCTAACCGAGTTAAAGGGGGAGAAAGACCGAATATGTTGTCTATTTTGGATGTTAAGTGTTTTTGGCTCTGAAACTAAGTAATCGCGCGGCTGGTCTTTGCAATTTAGGCGGGGGGTAGACGTCGACGTTTTTATGAGACGAGTCAAATTAATATTTGGGTCGACCTTACTTCAGTTGAGTTCGAGTACTGGGCCACCAACGTCGAATTTGGGTAAGCGTCGAACTAAGTTGACAAGTCATAACGGGCGCGAAAAATTTTAAAATCGTCGTTGGAAGCCTGCTTTGAAGAAACCCGTTTATAACAGACGATTCTCTTTGTTCCGACAAACAGCTCAATATATTAATTTTTAATGAATAAACAGCATTTCACGGAAACCCAGATACCCGAGGGTTGGGCCCATTCTCGGTGGGGGTGTGCCGCCCGGTTCTCCAAATCCTGACCTTATTTCAGACCAAAAAATGTTATTTTTCACACCCGTATTCAGACCTGGCCTTTAAGAAATTATGTCGTCATTACTTAGATTACAACAGCAACGATGCAATCCATTCGAATTGGCATATTTCTTTTTCTTTCTTACTCATTTGGAACTGAAACAATAAATACGTTCGTACACTCCCGTAGTTCCCTCGAAAACCATACCCGATTCCAGACCAAAATGGGCAAAGTCTATATCCGTTTTGAGACCAAAACGGCACAAAAACCTTTTGGAGTGGCACATAGATACGTAGGGGAGTACCCCCGGGGCCCAGATAATACAAACACTTTATTGACATGTTCACTTGATGTCTGTCATGTTTGCCTCCGAGAATCGATCTTTAGCGGTCTAGAAGAACTTGTTTGGCGATCCAGCAAACTTTAATATTCAGAGTAGCTAAACTGAGACAAACGTCGAACTTATTAACTTGAATCACTCAGTTTGGTTCGTCTCATGAAAAGTTTGGCCTGGATTTTTAATTAGTCGATCCAAGTCATTCAAACAAACTTAACTGCCACAGAAGTCCCACCCAGGAAGAGAGATAATGTCAGGACCATAGGCCTTTTTGGCGTTAATGTTTCTTAACAAGCGTGTTAGGCCTGAAACTTCAAACTTCAGAGGGGGGATCTCTGCGATCATACTAGGGCTGTTACTTGGGATGTTAAACCAGTAGATTCAGTTCATCTGTGAAAAGTGAAGCAAATTGATCACTCAACACTTCAGCTTTAATATATCCGTATATCTTTCATTAAAAAAGGATCCCTTTGACCCTTTCTCATACCTAATTTAGAACGTTGCATCCCTTTTTTTAAAAGCCGCAGGTGTTAACTTACCAGTGTGAGTTTCAAAAACACTAGCACAGAAGCTTGAGATAGAAATCACCAGTAAACTTGCAATTAGACCGTTAACAGTCAGAAAAAACAAACGAATGAGCCGCGACGTAGCCATCGACAGAAAAGTTTTTGCTGAACTTCACTGTAGCTACATGTAAATGCACCATTACGTTTCAGCCTTATACTGTGGGTGGTAAGTTTCGGTTTTTTTAGTTGTAAAACTCTATTGCAGTGGCAGCTTCCGGACAGTGCAATCTATTAATTCATGTGAGTGTATTCAGAACTACTAAATTAAAATTTGAAAGTCAAGCTTAAGTAAATTTTCAAGTAAGCCTGTAAAACAAGTGTACTTTTTTTGTTCAAGGGAACTTGTCATATTTCAAAAAAGCACAGTAAGATGAAAAAGCAATAATTTGCAACGAACGAATTCCAGTAATAACACGCCCCAGAGAACGCTTGCATAACCGGCTGTAAGCGTCCCGGATGGGGGTTGTTACATGTGACTGCCGAGCTAGTATTCTGAAATACTAATGATTTACGGCCAGACTCGATCGAAGTTAAGGTGGCCCGACTGGATTTTTTTGGGTTGATACCTCCCAAGTTTGAGCATCAACTACGTCGGCATGAGTAAAGATATCGAAAAAAGGTTACCACAACTGTATTACATAAAGATGAAAATTTCTTATGATCTGGGTTTTATTGCAATCGGAGTCGCCATGGCAACGTAATGACGCCATTACGTTTTTCATTTATCCTTGTGTTTCTCTGTACCAGGAGTTTTTTGAAGAAATCGCTTAAGGGAGTATGTACCTGCCATAATTGCCTCCATTATGGCAAAGTTTAAAGAAATTCTATGAGAGCGTTTTTGAAATATTTCGAAATGCAGTTTTAAGAATCATCAAAGCAGTGAAATAGCATGTTAGCCGCTCAATTCGCTAATATATTAAGAAAATGATAAGCTTTGGGAACGCGGCTTCATCTCATAGTGGTTTGATTCCATTGAAAACTGCATACAAAAAAGAAGGGAATTGCTCTGGGTGATCGCGAGTAAGAAGAATTTTATTAACTTGCATTCAGCTGCTTTTGATACAGTTTTTGGAGGTAATTTGGTCCATGCCTAAGAATTTCGCATTTTTCCAAAAACCGCTCGATAAATTTTTTTATAAATTCGACAATTCCGAGATCAATCGTCAAGAAATATTCCCTGCGAGTTTCAAGAACATTGAAAACAGAGAAGGCTTTTAAATAGGGACTCAAACATAACCAGTTTTCCCCCCAGATTTTGTGTTTACAAGTGAGCGTCTTCATTATTCACTGGCATTGTTTTCAAGTTTCATATGCACGTGCACAACTAGCAAAAAATATAAATTTGCATCAAAAAAAACTCTCGATTACTTTCCGAAGAAATATCCGGTATATGCTAATAATTGGCTTGTCGTCACAGATAGCAGTGAGAGCCGAAACGGTGAACGTCTCGGCTCATCGTGCAGGATGCAATACTTAATTATCTTACTCGGGTTATAACATCACAGAAACTCTCACAAAGAGTTGCTCTGATGTTATATTGTATCACTAACCTCTTTACCCGGTAATTAGCATATCCCGAAGATTTAACCGAGGGTCCTTTTTGATGCAAATTCTATCTTTTTGCTAAATGTGCACGTGTATATGAAACTTGAAAACAATGCCAGTGAATAATGAGGACGCTCACTTGTAAACACAAAATCTGGGGAGGAAATTGGCTATATTTGAGGCCTTATTTAAAAGCCTTCCCTGTTTTCAATGTTCTTAAGACTTGCAGGGAATATTTCTTGACAATTGGTCTCGGAATTGTCGAATTTATAAAAAAATTTATCGAGCGGTTTTTGGAAAAATGCGAAATTTTTAGGCATGGACCAAATTATCTCCAAAAACTGTATCAAAAGCAGCTGAATGCAAGTTAATAAAATCCTTCTTACTCGCGATCGCCCAGAGCAATTCCCCTCCTTTTTTGTATGCAGTTTTCAATGGAATCAATCCACTATGAGATGAAGCCGCGTTCCCAAAGCTTATCATTTTCTTAATATATTAGCGAATTGAGCGGCTAGCATGCTATTTCAATGTTTTTATGATTCTTAAAACTGCATTTCAAAAGATTTCGAAAACGCTCTCACAGAATTTCTTTAAACTTTGCCATAATGGAGGCAATTATGGCAGGTACATACTCCCTTAAGCGATTTCTTCAAAAAACTCCTGGTACAGAGAAACACAAGGATAAATGAAAAACGTAATGGCGTCATTACGTTGCCATGGCGACTCCGATTGCAATAAAACCCAGATCATAAGAAATTTTCATCTTTATGTAATACAGTTGTGGTAACCTTTTTTCGATATCTTTACTCATGCCGACGTAGTTAAGGCTCAAACTTGGGAGGTATCGCCCTAAAAATCCAGTCCAGCCACCTTAAGCGAAATAAGTTAGCTATTGCAATGTTA